CATAAGCAAAAAGAAAAAAGCCGGAAGTGGCGCTGTGGCTCAAGTGGTAGAGCGCTAGCCTTGAGCTGAGGGACAGCGCCCAGGCCCAGAGTTCAAGCCCCATATCCGACAAAAAAAAAAAAAGTACAAAAGGGAAGAATCAGTGTTAGTATTCTATTGCAATGTATGGTGGCTACAGTTAATGTCTATTCCAAATCAGTGAAGACTTGGCTTTAACAATGATAAAAGTATATGAGGTAATGATATATTAATCAGCCTGACTTAATCATCATTCCATTATACATGTATCAAAATATATGCCCATGATCATACATGTTACCAGTCATGTGGTGAACTGAATTTTCTATGGAAAAAATCTATGGTGAATTAAATTTTCTTTTTTTTTTGGGGGGGGGGGTCGGGTCATGGGGCCTGAACTCTGGGTCTGGGCTCTGTCCCTCAGCTCTTCAGCTCAAGGCTAGCGCTCTACCACTTGAGCCACAGCGCCACTTCCGGCTTTTCTCTTTTGCATATGTGGTGCTAAGGAATCGAACCCAGGGCCTCAGGCATGCAAGGCAAGCACTCTACCACTGTGCCACCTTCCCAGCCGGTGAATTGAATTTTCTAAGAAAAAAAAGTCCCATTTTCTGTTGAGATGATATAAGCTTACAATTTTTATTTGTTCAACATAGAATCCTATTATTAAATGCTTAGCTTCTTAAATAATATTTCTCATATATCTAAGCAATCAAATTATAGTCCTGTCTATAATCCTAGAGAATTTTTTTCTCCAGACCAGCATGCCCCAATGCCTACATGATAAAAACACATGTGATAAAATTACAGTTGGGGCTGGAAAGGTGGCTCAGTGGTGGCACAGTGCTTGTCTTGCATGCATGAGGCCCTGGGTTCGATTCCTTAGCACCATATAAGCAGAAAAAGCTGGAAGTGGCGCTGTGGCTCAAGTGGTAGAGCGCTAGCCTAGAGCTGAGGGACAGCGCCCAGGCCCAGAGTTCAGAGCACACAACTGGGGGGGAAGGGGGGGCGGAGAATTCAGAAAATTAGAATATTTTTTTTTCTTTCAGTGGGTCAGGGCCTGGGTGCTGTCTCTGAGCTCTTCTGCTCAAGGCTAGCATTCTACTACTTTTGAGTCACAGCACCACTTCCAGTTTTCTGTGGATTAATTGGAGATAAGAGTTTCACAGATTGTTCTGCCCAGGCTGGCTTTGAACCTTGATCCTCAGATCTCAGTCTCCTGACTAACTAGGATTACAGGTGTGAGCCACCAACACAAAAAAATGGCCCTAAATATTGAGCTAAATATTATAATGACATTCCTCAAAATTAAATTGTATCTGTATTACAATTAATTAAAAATATACAAAAGTGATGTACTTAAGGTAACTTCTAATTATACTTCAATGGCTTTCCACAATGTAAAATAAACAGTAGTCCTACACTAGTCTACCTTCCCACAGCACTAGTGTATCCTATCCAAATGGAGCCCTTGATTCAGGAGACAGAGATGGGGGCTGAGCCCTGGAGTTCTCATCTCTGAAAGGTTCCACAGGTTACACTTAGCAGCAAAGACCTAGCCCAAGCTCATCCTCACCACTGCTCACACATCAGCATCAGTGAATTACTTCTACATGCTGCACTCTTCTGCATCTGTGTCTTTTATACCTTGCTCTTCAGCTGTTTAGTTTTTCTCTTCATCCTTACCTTAAAAACCTTTATTCTGGGGCTGGGAAGGTGGCTCAGTGGTAAAGCGCTTGCCTTGCATGCATGAGGCCCTGAGTTCAATCCTCAGCACCACATAAGCAAAAAGAAAAAAGCCGGAAGTGGCGCTGTGGCTCAAGTGGTAGAGCGCTAGCCTTGAGCTGAGGGACAGCGCCCAGGCCCAGAGTTCAGGCCCCACGACCGGACCAAAAAAAAAAAACCCTTTATTCTTGGTTGAAACTTAGTTCAAACACTGAAGATTATTTCAGGCATACTGAAATAGATGCTGCTTCTTTTGTATTCCTACATCCCTCTTGCTACCAAACTGAGTTTTAAGAACAGGAAATGCTCTTCTGATACTCCATAACTATTTCTGAATACGAGTCACCCAGTCATCAAGTTTCTGACATCACTCTGAAATAATGGTTATCACAATCACTCTGATTGTGATATATATAAGACATATATATTCAAAATTAAAGTAAAATGTTACATTATTTATTGAACTATCTTACTGCTGAAAAAATCATTAATTTTACTTCATTTAGGGTACAAAGGGCAATACAAATACTGTATTATTTGCATTTAAGCACTTAAAAGTAAAATAAGAATGGCATTGATTTCTAATGTATCTTTCCCTCTTGAGTTGATTAGGACTCACTCATTAAATTTTGAAAGAGAATGACAGAACACGATCTCAAGTCAAATGCTTACAGAATGACAGAACACGATCTCAATTCAAATGCTTACACACGACCCTCTATACTCACCTTCCTCATCTATCCATTTCATGGTGAAAAGCTGTTCATTGTCAAAAGAACACATGTCTCGAACCTCATTGCAAAGGCCCTCAAAGGAGATGGAAGGCTCAAAATGTGTTATCATGATATCCCTGGAAAACAAAGGAGTTTTAGGTGTTTAAGTGATGAAAACTACAATGCTCTGATAACTCTATAGACTCAGCTACCAACACATATTTCCTTCAGTAACAGCATCTCTGGAGTGTAAACCTCAACAATAAGTAGACTAAAGAAAAAATAACCTGGAAGCTTGGGCCAACTGGTAGAGCACTTGCTTTGCAATTGTGAGGCCTTGAGTCCAATCCCCAATACCACCACCACATACACACACACACAAAAAAAAGACAAAAATAAGGAAAAGTTGCAGCTGCACTCTAAGAGCTACAGAAGCTAAAAAGCAGAGAAGCAAGTAGGCAGAGAAGTCAAATGGCCTTTTATCACTCTTTCTGAACATGTTTTTCTGCCCTTGCCTCTTAGAAGCCTCTTCCCTGGCTTTCATAACAACATATTTTCTCGATTCCACCCACTACTTAGAACACTTAAGTCTCCTTTTGTCTCCAATCACATGACACTCCTTCTAACCCCTCACATTATATTCTATCTTTTCCTGAGATCATATTCAGTGTTTTAACAATCATCTGTACATAGAGATCTCCTAAATCTGTAATTTCAATCTGTGTGGTATTTAAGACTCTTAATATAAGTCCAACTTCCTTCAATTTGATCTCACCACCCAAACACTGTACTACAAGTAACTAACTGGTTTACACACAACCCACACATGCAGATCCTAATGAATTACTCAGATCTAACTCAAACTTTCCCTCAGGTGAAAGTTCTGTTTACACAGAATGGGAGAAAGTAAGGGGCTGGGAAGGTGGCTCAATGGTAGAGCGCTTGCCTTGCATGCCTGAGGCCCTGGGTTCGATTCCTCAGCACCACATAAGCAAAAAGAAAAAAAGCCGGAAGTGGCGCTGTGGCTCAGGTGGTAGAGTGCTAGCCTTGAGCTGAAGAGCTGAGGGACAGCGCCCAGGCCCAGAGTTCAGGCCCCACAACTGGACCAAAAAAAAAGAATGGGAGAAAGTACTTGGTAACTGGACTTCAACACCACCTTCCACTTATTTTCCAAATACATGCCAACCACAAAACAGTCTGTAATTCTCAACTCTTCATATACTGAGAACACACCCTCAACTAAATCATGAACAACTAGAAGACAAATAGTCTTGGCCTTTCCATACGCTTGTATTACACTGAACTGAATGTAAAAGAAACACTTTCACTCAGAACCTTATCTGTCAACAAATATACTTTTTTCGGTGTGTGTATGGGGCTTGAACTCAGGGCCTGGGAACTGTCCTTGAGTGTTTTTGCTTGAGGCTAGCGTTCTACCACTTGAGCCACAACTCCACTTCTAGCTTTTTGGTGGTTAACGGGATCTAAGAGTCTCAGACTTACCTGCACAGACTGCGAACCCCAATACTTAGCTCTCAGCCTCCTGAGAAACTAGGAGCCACAAGCTCCCAACAGCAGATATATTTCTGACAAGGAAACGTTACTGTGTTCTCTTTCCTTATATACATTTATGAATACTATGTTCCAGAAGCTTGAGGAAGCTTTATCTTAACTTTGACAATAACTGTCCATCTTGATGCAGTAAATCTTACAGTTTTAAAAGGGAAAGCAGAGGCATACTTGTAGTCTCACAAAAGGAAATGAATATGACTTCACATTTGAATCTCATAGCATCTTGTGGATGCTGTGATCCACTATTACCCCTATTCTGAGTCATCTCCAGAACCCCCATTTTATTGTCCCTGCTATTGAGTATGGCCTGTGGACAGTCTCACCTAATCAGCCACCTTCAAAGGTTTGATCTGCCTGTAGTCACACCTCCCTTCCTGAAGCAACCATAGTGACTGATTGGCTATGGAGCACAAGGGTCCTAGACACAACTCAGGAAACTCTAAAGTGTTAACTCATCCTTTGAATTTCCAAGAGAATCAACTGAGATTTCTGTTTGGACTTCTGCTGAGTCTGTGTTATGGCTTGAGTATGTCCTCCTCCAAAATTCATGGTGACACTTTCATCCCACTGAGGAGGTATTAGGAAACAGGGTACTTGGGGAAGTGATTGAATCATGAAGGCTTGAGCCTCATGAATGGACTCAAGCCTTTTTTAACAGCCAGAGACAACTAGGATGAGCCTTTATCCTTCCATCTTTCCACCAATTGAAGACCCAGGCTTCATCCTCTCTGGATGATGCAGCAGCATGGTGCTACCCTGGAAAGAGCAGAGAGACCCCTTCCAGACACCAATCTGCCAGCAGCTTGATCTTGAACTTCTAGCTTCTGAACTATGAGAAATCATTTCTGCTGTTTGTAAATTACTATGCTACTCTGTTACAGCAGCACAGCCTCACTCAGCTGCCTTTCTTCCCTCTCTTCTCTTCCACTGCCATCAATGCCAAGAGCATTCCTCACAAAAACCTGCCACCTGCTAATCTCCTGAGCTAAGGATTTCCATAGCAAAGATCTTGTAATACACCTGGTATTAGTTGAGTCACATTGTTATGACAAAACACCATAAAAGGAGTAGCTCACAAACCGAAATTTATTTCTTCTGTCCTAGACACTGACAAGTCCAAGATGAAGGCATGTCTGATTTAGTGTCTGGTCAGAGCCTAATCTGTGGTTCTTAGTGTGACACCATCTAGTTATGTCCAGATGGTAGAGGTGGTAGCTGACTCTCCAAAGTCTCTTCATAAGGGCACTAATCCTATTCTTGAAGGCTGAATTATCTCTCAAAGGCCTCTCCTTCCAATATCATCTTTTTTTTTTTTTTTGGGTCCGGTTGTGGGGCCTGAACTCTGGGCCTGGGCGCTGTCCCTCAGCTCTTCAGCTCAAGGCTAACACTCTACCACTTGAGCCACAGCGCCACTTCCGGCTTTTTTCTTTTTGCTTATGTGGTGCTGAGGAATCGAACCCAGGGCCTTGAGCATGCAAGGCAAGCGCTCTACCACTGAGCCACCTTCCCAGCCCCTCCAATATCATCTTATCGGTTAAGTTTCAACATAAATTTTGGAAAGCACACAAACATTCAGATCATGGCAGACAATAATACCTCACAGGATGTCCTAAGGATTCAGTGTATTAAATTAATATTTGTAACATTAATACTTAATTTAAACTATAATTAGAATAACAACTAGTGTATAACACTGTATGGTTTATTAATTTTTAATTGCATATTCACATACTTTTAATAGAAGTAAAACTTCATTAGAGAAACAAAAACTCTTATTTTCTTTTTTTTGGATCCGGTCGTGGGGCCTGAACTCTGGGCGCTGTCCGTCAGCTCTTCAGCTCAAGGCTAGCACTCTACCACTTGAGCCACAGCGCCACTTCCAGCTTTTTGCTTTTTGCTTATGTGGTGCTGAGGAATC